GATATCCTAACGCTAAATGTTCTAAAAATTTTAAACTTTATACTAAAATAGGTTTAAATTCCAATTTTAGTATCAGTTGTAATAATTATACGTATTATTTTACGTAAATAAAAATCCACTATAATACGCGTTTATCTTTTCTTCTGTTGACAGGTATTTTTGCTATTTTAAATTTCAGATCAGGTTTATAGAAGGTCAAGCAATACTAGCAAATTATATCGATATCTATATTAATTTTTATATCAAATAATATATTAATATAATATTCATTAAATTATTTGGTAAATAATTTTATATCTAATATTCAATAAATATTCGAATATACTATACATCGAGTCAGACCTTTACATGTGCGTATAGCTTTATTGTCGGCTAAGAGAAAGAATTTTCGTATAGCGATAGTTCCTGAAAAGTCAAATAGTTACATTTGTTTAGATTCTAACGCGAATTAAGGTAAAATGGTAATTAACAGTTCTTGTTTGTGTTAAGTCTTATGCAGCACATTTAATGAAATGATGTAACATGTTTGCTGAACACAATTCATTACAATATTACGCCCATGTATTACATCCGTGTGTGTATGGACGTACGTACGTGTTAAATGAATAAACGTGCGTGCATTAATTAATTAAACTTTAAATATATATATATAACCTGGGTAATATCCAGACGTTTTTTTTTCATATTATTAAAACTTTATAAACTTCAAAAATTCAAATATAATAATTTAGAAATTCAAATATACAATTAAGATATAAAAGATGCATAATTTTATGATTTATTTAATATATATTTCATTTTTAATATCTCTTATACATAGTTTAGATAATAACGCAAAAGTAGATTATAATTTATCTAATAACAAATTAATACGACGTCAAGCTACAGCAAAAGCTACAGCACCAGCACAACCGTCCCCAGCTACAGCACCAGCACAACTACCTCCAGCTACAGCACCAGCCCAACCATCCTCAGCTAAAGCACCAACAGGATCACCAACAGCAGCAGCATCTCAGTCTGCAGCACAACCTCCAAGTTCTTCAAATCCAGCTACACCACCAACTTCAGCTAAGGCCCCAACACCTCCTGCAAATATACCACAAACCGTAGTTGCTCCTAAAAATCCTTCACAACCTACGGACCAAGCCAATGTACCTGTGCCTTCGCCGCAAGTACCAACACAGTTACCTTACGGTGCTGGAGCAGAAAAACTGCAATCTGAAAAAGGGAATGTAGGAATGTTTGCACTTGGAATAACGATATTCTTGGTTATAATGTGGTGAACCTTTTAATATGTTCGAATTTTTATATATTCGGCACGTTCTTTATATGAAACGTCCTGCTTAATATATTTTATTTTAATTATGTTTTTTTTTTTTTGTAATAAATTATTCGAATATTTGTATGGGGTGTGATTGATTGGAGTGATATAGTTTTCATACTAATCGACTAATTAATTAATGGTGCGGAAAATGCGCCGAGCTTTTTATGTATCGAAAAATAATTTTTTTCTATAGTGTAATCTAGGAAATGTCAATTATCATTATCTGATTTCTAAAATAATTTGTATTATATAATGCCAAAATTAAGTGAAGCTTTCACGCGAATAAATAGTACGTACGTACGTACATTATATGAGACGTGTTACATACAACTCTTCACGTAACATGTGATTGTATGACAATTGTTATCCACTTACTATCTAGTTAAAGTTTTATTACAGTGTAATGAATTAAATTATGTTTAAGTAAATATTACCAAGTATAGTAGATTTGTACTTACAGTATATATTATTATTTTATATTATGCCCTGGTCACTATATCAAGATCGCAGGGTATAAATCAGTTATACCCTGTATACTGGGTCTCTTTTTCCGACCACTTTCGACCGGAGTAAAATCGCCAAAAAAGTTTCGGACATCCCGTGACAAGTATATCAAGCATCAAAAATTCATGTAACTTAGACAAAAAATACAACCAAAAAAATTTATAGACTAACAAAATA